CACACACATGTACACAAACACACACACAACACACATGCACACACACACAACACACATACCACACACACAACACACACACATGTACACAAACACACACAACACACATGCACACACACACAACACACACCACACACAATACACACACCACACACACACACCACACACAACACACACACCACACACAACACACACACCACACACACACACACACACACACACACACCTCACACTTTGGGGCCTTGGGTAAGGTGGTTAAGGGACTTGCAGCCCACCGTTCCCTGGCTTTGAAGGTTCACTCACCGGATTCCACAGTGTTCCCTCCAGAAGGTGTGGGCAGAGCTCTTAGTGAGCTGGTACAGGTGTCCACAGTACTTCCCCCCAGGGAAGAGTGCACTCAGCTCCGCGTGCATGTGACTGAAGATGAGGGCCAGCTTGGCCAGCTGTCGCCTGAAGGAAAGGGTTATGAGCATCACGCTGGACATGGGGAGAGTCGCTAGAGGTGCAAGGCCCTGAGATTCCCTCTAATGAGTCAATGCACCAAAGGAGCCAGTCTCTGTCCTGAGGCCTCTCCTCTCTGAGCCCCAATTTCCTCATCTATGAAAGAAGAGTGGAAGCTAATATCCAAAGTAGCCTCGAATAAACAAAGGGGTCCCTGGACCTGGAGCTATCACTTAGCAGAACAGCACTTGCCTAGAATCCTTCAGTTGGGGACTGGGAGTGTGGCTCAGTGGTAGAGCCCCTGCCTAGAATCCCCCAGTGAGGGGCTGGGGATGTGGCTCAGTGGTAGAGCCCCTGCCTAGAATCCCCCAGTGAGGGGCTGGGGTATGGCTCAGTGGTAGAGCCCCTGCCTAGAATCCCCCAGTGAGGGGCTGGGAGTGTGGCTCAGTGGTAGAGCTCCTGCCTAGAATCCCCCCAGTGATCTGTGGGGTGGTGACTCAGTGGTACTGCCTCTGCTTATAATGCTCAGGTTCCTAGCTTCCATCCCCAGCATCTCAAAATCAAACAAAACCAGAACATCATATTGGGTTAACACTCAGTGCATGCTGATTTTATTATATTTCTCATTTATATTAATAACTTCCTTGGGCAGGTCTGCAGGGCTTCTGGCAGTTTCTTAGCAACCTCGCTTCCCAGAACGTAGAGCTGTGTAGCCCAGTGAGGTTGCCATCCACAGCTCTGGCAGGTTCAGACTGGGAGGGACACGTCTCTTTTCTTTCGTTCTCTTGTTTTTTGGTTTTTTGTTTTTGTTTTGTTTTGAGACAGGGTCTCATTATGTAGACTCAGATGGCCTAGAACTCACTATATAGACCAGGCTGGCCTGGAACTCACAGAGATCCACCTGCCTCTGCCTCTTGAGTACTGGGGTCAAAAGTCTCTGCTACCACAATCAGTCCAGAGTAAGGAACTGATTCTTTTTTCTTTTTTAAAGACTTGTTTTTATTTGTGTGTGTGTGTGTGTGTGTGTGTGTGTGTATAGGTATGTGCACATGAGTGTGGATTTCTGAGGAGGCCAGAAGGTGTCAGATCCCTTGGAGCTGGAGTTACAGGTGATTGTGAGCCATTCATCCTGGGTGCTGTAAACCTGGGTCCTCTGCTGGAGGAATAAGCCCTCTTAACTTCTCAGCTAGTGGTTTTCAACCTTCCCAATGATGTGACCCTTTAATACAGTTCCTCAGGTTGTGGTGACCCACAACCATAAAATTATTTTCATTGCTACAGTTATGAATCAGAATGTAAATATCTGTGTTTTCGGATGGTCATAACAATCCTGTAAAAAGACCAGTCAACCCCAGGCTGGCAACCTACAGTTTGAGAACAGCTCCTCTAAGCACACCCCCCTCCCGCCCCCCCCCCTCCCCCCCCCCCCCACCCCCACCCTCCCTCCCCCCACTCCCCACCACCACCACCCCCCAGCAGGTGTTTGGAGTTTACACTAGCCTGCAACAAGGTAGGCCAAAAGAAAGCAACAATTGTAACAATTTTGTTAAGCACACAGGTCCAGCTGTCTTCAGACCTGGGGCTGGGTGTGTGCTCGCACGCGTGAGCACACACACACACACACACACACACACAACTGAGAAATAAATTGATGAAATAAAAAAAGAAATGTGCATTTTCCATGTAGTGTATATAAATATATTTGAAGTAGTATTTCTTTCATTGGTTATAATTGGGGATAATGAGACAAATAACAAATAAACAATTTGGACAGACAGGTGGTTGATTTCATTTCCTCATGAATTGAGGCGATTCTACAAGCCAGGGAAGCCACTGCTAGGGCGTGGGAGCCAAGTCGAACACCGATTTAGACCTTGCTCTGGGATCCGGGCTCCAGTCCTCCTGTGCACCTGTTCCTCAGGAGACAGAGTTGGCAAGTCCAAGGTCCTTAGCCTAGGCTTCAGGAACCAACGTCCATGGCACTCATGCAGATCCGGGACTGACCCAGTGCTCAGACACCAGAGGTGACTTCAACAGGAAGTCTCTGGGATCCCTACATACATAAGGCGGGTGTGTATCTAAGGCCCTCAGGAGAGACACACGTCTGGACCCCAGGTGCAAGGTGATCCAAAAAAAGGAAGAAAGGGGGATTGGCGGCATGAGTGCTTAAGGGAAGAAAAAATGGGGTAGCTTAGTTTTCCTGGGTCTGAGGGAGGAGGGATCTGGACCCCTGTGTCTGAGGGAGGAGGGGTGGGCCTGGACCCCTGGGTCTGAGGGAGGAAGTGGCTGGAGACACAATCCGGAAATCATGACTTATTTCTGAGGCAGGTCAGTGCTCACCTGAATCTGGAGCCCTCCCGGAAAACCTCCTCGTTTGCATCCTTTTTGCCTCGGGGTGGCAGCAGCTCGGCCACCTTCCTGCCTTTGGCTTCCAGATTGGCCAGGTAGATGACCAAAAAATCCCCAGCGCCGCCGGGACCCTCGGGGTCTCCCCGAGCCTCGCGCCGGGCTTTTGCCACTTCTCGAAGTAGTTGAGCGGTGCGGGGCAGCAGGACCCGTAGCGACGGGGGCCCCATAACCAGTCTGGGGTCCCTGCATTGCTCTTCCAAACGCTGTAGCAGCTTCACTGCGCGGCCGAACGCGCGTGACTCTCCCCACTGCCATCCTCGCGGGGATGCCATCGCAGCCGTGGGTCTCTCGGATAGCCTGAGATGGAGGGGTGAGGCGGGGAAAGGCTCCAGGTAGGGGCGGAACCAGGAGGGAGCAGAGGGCGGGTTCTGGAAAAAGGAAGGGGACTGCAGGTGGCAGCTGCCCTAAAGGGGCCCGACTGCAGAGTCTAAGGGAGGAGGGCTGGGGCCTGAACCCCTGGGTCTAGGGGAGGATGGCTGGGGTCTGGACCCCTAGGTCTGAAGGAGGAGGGCTGGGGCTTGGGTTCCTTAGTGTGTGGAAAGAGGTGGCAAACAGAGGAGGAGGGTGTTAGAAGCTTGGTTCTCCACACCCCACAGGGAGGGACTCTGGGACACAACACCCCTTCCTGAATCATTTCAGGAAGGTTTCAGTCTTTGCTCATAACGTGGGATCAAAGTTCAGGCAGTGGAATCTCTAAGAACATAAAGTCACGTACCCACTCTGTGTCCCAGAGGGAAGGTACTAGAACGCCCAGAGCTCTGCGTCCCAAGGCAGGTAAGGGGAATTAGGTTGTAGTTTAAGAACCCAGATTTTCAAGAGGTAAAAGAGGTGTGGGGGGAAAGTGAAGTTCAGGAATGCACAGGGCTGCGGGGGAGTGGCTACAGGCAGGTTTGCACCCCAACCTGTCAGACCTGTAGGGTCCGCGCCGACTGTGCTTCAGGTAGCCGCCAGGGGGCGCCGTGGACATGGTCCTCTTAGCCCAAGGGCACCCAGGGCACCCAGGGCACCCAGGGCAGCCATTTAGCATGCTGGGTGCTAACTTCTCTCCAGTCTGCATTCTGCATTCTCCCTTCTCCTCCCTTCTCCTCCTTCTTCTTTCTCTTCTGCCTCTTCCTCCTCCTCTTCCTCCCTCTTCCCCACTCCTCTTCCTCTTCCTCTCCTTCTCCTTTCCTCCCCTCTTCCTCCTGTCTCCTTCTCCTCTTTCCTCCCCCTCCTTCTAATTAGGTTCTTCCTAAATAGCTCGAGCGGGTCTTGAACTCACTGGGTAGCCCAGGCTGATCTCAAAGTTGCCTCGCTCCTCCTACCTCTGCCTCCAGAGTGCTGGAGATTGGATAGTAAGGCTCTATCTATCTCAACAAAAGACCTGGGCTGGGACTGGAGAGATGGCTCACTGGTTAAGAGCACCTGCTGTGTGTTCAGAGGACCGGAGTTCAGTTCCCAACATACTCACATCACCATTTGATAGCAACCGGAGATCCAGGGGATCTGATGTCTCTGGCCTCTGAGGGCAGCCTGCGCGCGCGCCTGCCCGTGCACACGCGCACACACACACAGTGATACATATTTTGCTGTTTCTGTTTTTTTTTTAAAAAATAATTTACTTAACTGTATTTTATATGCATTGATGTGAAGGTGTTGGATCCCCTGGAACTGGAGTTACAGACAGTTGTGAGCTGCCATGTGGGTGCTAGGAATTGAATCCCGGCCCTCTGGAAGAACAGCCAGTTCTCTTAACCACTGAGCCATCTCACCAGCCTCCCCCCCCCCCTTTTCTTTGACAGGATCTCATCATATAACCTTGGCTGTCCTGGAACTCCCCATGTAGACCAGATATTTTCAAAATCACAGAGAGCTACCTGCCTCTGCCTCCCGAGAGCTGGGACTAAAGGCATTCCATGCCTGGTATAATTAAAAAAAAAAAGAACTGGGTTGACAAGTTTACCCATGAGGTAAAGGTGCTTGCCACTGAGACTGACTGAACTTGATCTCAGGACCTACGTGGTGGATGGAGAGAACGGACTTCTGCAAGGTGTCCTCTGATGTATACATTGACATGCACGCACGCATGCAGTGCTCTCTCACACGCACAATAAATAAATAAATACATGTGTTTATTTATTTACCCAAAATCTCACAGCACAGCCCTCACCCAGCTCTGGGTTCATACCTTAATATGTTCTATTTAATTACATTTCATTAATGGAAAAAAATCATGTTTGCAATCCACCAAATTGATTTCACAACCAGTTAATGAATCCTGTTAGGCAGTAGGGAAAATTTCAAAAGATGTTAATGGAAGTCTTGTAGAAAATATAGAGAAATGGAAAGAAAGCAAGAGCCCCGCAGTCGGAGAGGGGACACAGGACCTCGGCCTTCTCTTACCCTGAATATCCAAGAGACAGTGAAGACAATGGGTCCTCACAAATACCAACAACACACGGTATGAAAACGGAAAGCCTGGGCCAGGTGGTGTTGGCGCATGCCTTTAATCCCAGCACTCGGGAGACAGAGGCAAGCAGATCTCTGTGAGTTCAAGGCCAGCCTGGTCTACAGAGCTAGTTCGAGGACATGCTCCAACGCTACCGAGAAACCCTGTCTTGAAAAAATAAAAAAGTAAAGCCTGGAGGCTGGAGAGATGACCCAGAAATTACGAGCACTGGCTGCTCTTCCAGAGCAACCACACAGTGGCAGTCATCTATAATGAGATCTGGTGCCCTCTTCTGGCCTGTAGGCATACATGCAGGCAGAACACTGTATACATAATAAATAAATCTTTTTTAAAAATGTAAAGCCTACAGCCAACCTGGGTTACAGAATGATTTTAAGGGCAACCTGGACAACTTGGCAAGACCCTGTCTCAAAAGAAAAAGCAAAAAGTTGCCTGGGGGCCACAGAGATGGCAGAGTGGGTAAGAGCACTGACTACTCTTTCAAAGGACCAGGCTTCTATTCCCGGCACACATGTCAGCTCACAACTGTAGCTCCAGTTCCAGGGGATCCAGTGCCCTCTTCTGGCTGCTTTGCGCACTGCACACACACCACATGGTGCAGACATATACATCCTACACTTAAAAAAATGTATAAAGCGTGCTGGGTCTGTTGTTCAGTGGTAGAGTCTGCCTAGCTTGCCTGAGGCCCTGGCCTCTGCCCTTAGTGCTGCCTCTTACTGTATTTGAAACCACCAGAGACACAGTTCTCTCATCCCCAACTTCATTCATTGGAAAATACAGATGAGACTGGATGGGCAAATAGGGGCTTTGAGAAGTGCCCAGGCAAAGACAGATTAGGGTGGTCCTAGAATCTACTTTGACGATGACTTTAGGATTAAATGCTGTGTGCGCGCATGTGTGGTGGGGTTGCAGAGAGGAACAGACAACCTGCCAGTTAAGAGTTTCCTACTGAGGAGCTGGAGAGACGGCTCAGTGGTTAAGAGCACTGGCTCCTCATGCAGAGAACCCAGGTTCAGTTCCCAGCACCCACAGGCAGCTCACACCATCTGTAACTCCAGTTCCATGAAATTCAATGCCCTCTTCTGGCCTCTTTGGCCTCTGCACACACATGGTACACAGCCACACATAAAGATAAAACCCCATACACATAGAATAATAAAAAAAAAGATCTTAGAAAAAAAATGCCCACTGCTCTCCCATCTCCCAACTTGTTTGGTTCCCAGCATCCAAGTCAGGCTTCGGGTGGCTCACAATGCCTGTAACTTCAGGTCCAGGAGGATCTGATGACTCTGGTCTCTGAAGGTGCATACACACACACACACACACACACACACACACACACACACACACACACAGAGAGAGAGAGAGAGAGAGAGAGAGAGAGAGAGAGAGAGAGAGCACAGCACATGACCAAGGCAATTCTAATAGAAGAAAATATTTAATTGGGGGCTTGCTTATAGTTTTGCTTATAGTTTCAGATGCTTAGTCCATGATGATCATGGCAGAAAACAGTAGCTGAGAGTTTTGCATCCTGATCTCTAACAGCAGGCAGAGAGACACTGGTCCTGCACTGGGCTATTGAAACCTCAAAGCCTGACACATCTCCTCCAATAAGCACACACCTCCCAATTCTTCACAAACAGACCAACTGGGGGCCAAGCATTCATCATATTTGCCTTTCGGGGGCCATTCTCATTTAGACAACCACAATAATAACATAATAAACAAGGAGGACGAAGACGCTGGAGCTGTGGGACAGCTTGGTGGTAAAGGCGCCTGCTACTATACCTGACCGCCTGAGCTGAAACTCCAGAACCGCGTGGTAGAAGAGAATTGACTCCCACAAGCTGTCCTCTGACCTCCACACAAGCTTTCTCCAAGTAAATAAATGAGTGTAATAAAAACTATTATTTCCCTTTAAAATTGAGCCGGGTGATGGCACATGCCTTTAATCCCAGCTCTCAGGACTCAGAAGCAGGCGAATCTCTGTGAATTCCAGACCAGTCTGGTCTACTGGGTGAGTTCCAGGACAGCCAGGGCTACACAAAGAAACCCTGACTTAAAAAAATAAAATAAAACAAAAGCAGAAAAAGAAAATCGAAGTTGGATGTAGTTTCCGATACTAGTAAACCTGACTCTTCCGAAGGAAGAGAAAGTGACACTGAGTCACGGTCCAACCTGGGCTACAAAACAAGGTTCTGTCTCTGCAAATAAACAAAGGGACAGGGTTGACAAGTTGGCTCAATGGGTGAAAGTGTTTGCCACCCAACCTGACAACCTGAATTTGATCCTCAGAACCCACAGGGTAGAAGGAGAGAACTGACCCCTGTGAGCTCTCCTCTGACTTCCACCTGTGTCCACACGTAAGCACACACATAAATAAGTACGTATAAATGTACTATACCAATATAAGATAAAACTTACATAAAAAAATAAAAACTTCTACCAGCCCCCACCCCATGCACACACACAAATGAAACCTGGGAAAAGGTTGGGTTCGGGGGTGAAGTAGGAGGTGTAGCTCAATTGCTTGTCTAGAACACAAGAAGCCATGGGGTCCACCCCAGCATCACATAGACATGAACAAAATGTGGTGACCTGTGCCCGGAGCCAGTTCTTGGGAGGTGGAGGCAGGAAGATTACCAGTTCAAAGTCGCCTTTATCTGCATATCAAGTTCTAGGCGGCTTTGGGTTACATGCAAACCTCTTCACCCATCCCCCTCCCCAATGGATAAAGTAGAAATTCTATGTATAATATGATTCCGTTTATATGAGACATCCGGTGTAGGTAACTTTAAAAATTAAAGACGCCTAGCAAGAGCAGACGCACAGTCTGAACTGGCCATCTCCTGTGACCAGGCAAGACTTCAAGTGCAGGGATTGGGACACCAACCCAGCCACAATCTTCGACCTACAGTCCGTCTTGCCTATGGGATGTGCTGGGGTACGGGTGGTGCAGGGATTGTGGGAGTGGCTGACCAATGACTGATCCAGCCTGAGACCCATGCCAGGAGAGTCAGCAC